AAAGAGCAAGCTTCATCTTCAGTTTGATAGAACACTTGATCTGCTAGAGTGTATTTGAGACCATGAGGGTCTCTGCTGCCTGCAGATCACATCATACTGCTTTCAGTTACCACGATGGGGGAAGGTCAAACAGTGTTTGATCACATTGAAAGATAATGAAAGGCTAAGTTTACATATCCAGCCGCTGTTATGGGCCACACTAAGCCACTTTGAAGGTTTTAAACTATTACAAGAAAAAAAAACAAAAACAAAACAACAACCTCTAGCCTGGCTTATAATAGATGCAGCAGGATTTATGCACGTTCTGCAACAAACCATTAGAGAAGAAAAAAAAAAAAATGTCAAAAGGCAGGGATAACAGGAAAGTTACCAAATTTTGTAATTTCCGAATGTAATTTGAATGATGATTGTGGTAATAGTGACACATTCAAGTTTCTACAATAAACTTCAGTCTACCTCAGTTTAAGAAAAAAAAAAATATGTGGCAACACATGGTGCATAAAGACTGCTGTGTGTGTGTGTGTGCGCGCGCGCGCCTGTATGTGTGTGGTCGACAGAGCCATGCTATTACCTCTGAACCTTTTTTTGTGATGTTTTTTGTGCATGAGATGACCAGAATCACCATGCTGCACTGATTTGAGGGGCACAACGAGCAAAAACATTTGTTTCATCATTTTGTTATCTACCTCTTAGGTTCATGTTGAAATAGAGGCATTACTACATAGACTAGATAATTTTCCCAAAGATCATTGTTGTACAGATTAGATAATTTTGAAAATGGTCTGACGTGTTTTTCCTGCATCTCTTCTTTACTAATTGGTTTAAAAACCACAAACTTTTGTTGTAGTTTTAGCAAAGAAAAATGAGTTTCTTTTCCTTTTTTGACAGTGACCTTCATCTAGCCTTTAGGATAATTTTTTTTCTTACAATGAATTTAAAATTACTGAACTATGAAAAGTCATAGCATTTTAATTTTTGTTGAGGCTTAAGTCAGTCTGACGTTCCTTTCTTAACATTTGAGAAGGATTTGACTTTATTATTTTCCGTAAAAAATACTTTACAAATAGGCGCTGCATTTACATCTGCTGATTTAAATACTGTCATTTCTCTCAAATTTCTAGACTTAGTATGGTAAATCATGTTTTTCTTTTCAATTGAGACTTGGTAATTTGGAGTATTTGGGAATAGCTAGAAAGTAAATACTGTAAATGATTTCAGTATCCACAAAGTATGGATCATTTTTCATCTGTAATGTGCCCCCCAATGCAGCTCCACTTGCCAGATGCCTCTGAATGGAATAAAGAGTTTAACTCCTATCATCAGATAAAGTTGTGTGGTGTTTTTTTAAATTAATGAGGCATAAGGACAGACAGTTGTAAGTATTCACAGTGCTTTGATCAAGTTGTTTTTTTGTCCATAAAAACTGGATAAGGATGAGCAGTCAACCACAGGTACTGCATAGCTGCTAGGGCATCCAGCAGCCAGGCTACAATGTTTGTACTTCCCAACACAAGCAGTGACTTCTGTGGCTTATAATTCATCTTCTCCCTCTCATGTAAGAACTCCGTATAGTCTGTAGTACAACCTCTATGTAGTTCATGGTTTCAGTCTTAGGCACATCACTCAAGCCGGTTTGCTGTAGAAGGGATGTGTACTCAACAGTCCTGACCCAGGGCAAACAAGAAGGAATCTTTAACAGGTTTGAAGCAAGATCTGAATTTGCTGCTTTTTACCCAGTTTTTACTTTATGGCTCTCAGCGTGACAAAGCTGTATAATGAACGTGGCCCTAGAAGCTTGCATAGGCAGAACCAGCCACACTAGCAAGCAAATGTGATGGCAACCTGGATCTCACTCCTACCACCGCCACCCAGACACACGCCACTTGCCAGGTGAGGTGGCATCACCTCTCTCTTTAGATCCTTGTTAACATTATTTGGAATAGAAATTATACTAGGTGTTTAACTGAACATTTTATAGAGTGAGAAGGAGGGGTTAGGGAATGAAGGTGTGTCATGAACAGTATAATTCTATATCTTTTAAAGAGAAGTGGAAAACCTAACCTGTTTTCCAAACTCTTGCACCCTCCCACTTGTCTTCACATCTCATTTACTGGGACCAACCAGCAGAAAGATGGGATCGAAGAAATGATGTTTGTAGAAAACACTGCATAGGAGTATTGCATTTCACAGCAAACTCTAAGCTCATTTTTCATGCCAATATCGAGCTGTCTTCTCAGAACTGGTGTCCCTGCCATCTGAGCAACATAAGAAGTTAAGCCTTTCTCTGTGTCGCTGGTGCATCTGTGACTGTGACAGCTAAACCTCCGACTGTTTTAAGCATTTGCTTAATCATGATGCTTTTATTTGCTTCTAACCTTCCAAAGCTTTTATTCCTAAGCTGCAATTTCAAAGGCATGCGCTCTTTGTATTAGTTTCCATTAAATGAAGCATGTATGCTGTGGTCTCTACGTGCTATCAGGGCACAGAATTTTTAAACGAACACGAAAAATTGTGGAGTAAGCACCCAAGCTGGGCTGTAACAGATGTTAGCTCAGCTGATGGATACAAACATGGCTAGGTAACAAAGTTACTCAAAGGCCGAAGAGGAAATTAGGGAAATGATGTCAAAAGTTCTATCTTGATAACTCCTCCTCCTGTTCATCCTGTCATGAAGAGAGCCTGCACATACCTCTGCACAGGATAAATCTACAGACTCATTGGACAAGCTGCTCAGTATTTTCATTTTATACAGAAATCACCCAATCAGTAGAACTGAAACCATTCCCAAATGTTTTCCTTCCAAAAGGGGTTTAATGTTGCTCAGTACTGATTATCCAGACTGTCTGCTAATTTCTAGGTCCCAGCTTTTAAGAGAGTCAGGCCAAAGGCTCACCAAGTCAGGGAGGTGACCTGACTGGGACATCGCAGTAACTGGCACAGATTATGACTGCTGCTGTTAAATGAGGGATGAGGAAGTTCTCTTCCTGAGCTGGCACTTCTGATTATTTAATAGCAACCAGTGGATGCTCCATGTAACTCCTTTTCACAATGTGCTTTGGCAGTAGATTCAGTTATATTAGTTACGCTCTTTCATTTATTTTACTGGTTTTTGTCTGCTCAGTAAATTTGTGGGTGGGGTTTTTTGGGAGGAGGAGGGGAGAGTGTCTTGTCCTATAGACTATTACCCCTTCCCAGCTGTAAGAGTTTATGCCTGTTCACATGGAAGCTGTTCCTTCTCTCTTACTGTTCTTTTCTGGGTGCTCCTTTTGTCACTATGCTCTTTGAGAGAGGATACTGTGTGTGGTTCTGGTTACCAACTGTGGGTTCATATAATGGCACAGCGTTTGCTGAACCTGCCTCTGCTCATCTAGTATTGCTTATCTTCAGCAGCAGGAAAAGGCAAATGGTTTCAGGGAATGATCCAAAGTTACTCCTACACATCCCTCCTAGGAGGAAACACCCGATTTAGAACCCATCACTTTGTAAGACAGCCAAGGTTATCTTTCCCCCATGTGGATTACTTACTTCCAAGTATCATGACAAATTTTGAAAATTTTTCTTTGCAGTCAGATTTACCATCAATACCTTAATTTCATGGGCAAAGATGTTTTATCTGCGTAGCTTAACTACATTTAATAAATGCTCCTTGCTTAATTGGCAGAACTATGCTGCCTCATATCAAAGAGCAGGCAAACTCACAGGAAGTTATTTCTGAAAGAACAGAGGCTAAACACAGCAAAAAAACATGACTAGTCTGAAATGAGGGAGAAGGTTTTAAAAAAACACACCCCCCCACATCCTTCTACTGAAACAACAACACAACCACATGTTCAAAAATCAAGGTCACTTTCTTTGAGCATTACAAAGAGCAGCTGCTGTGCAGGGAAAAAGATGCAGACAGGGCTTGAAGTAGTTTTGCGGGGGGGAGGTGATTACTCTCACGATCTACTGTTCCTGCATGTGACACATGGCAGAGCAAGCTTCTCCAGAAGAGATCCTAATCTAACGATGAAAGCCTTGTCTTGTCGTGGAGAAAAGCATCTTGTTCTACATAGACAAGTTTTGCTACCATCTTGAAGTTCTTCTAACTAGCTATTATACCATGCAGCAGTCAGACTAAGAACACACTGCGCAGTGACTTCTGAAAGTGCTGAACAGCCCCTTAGCAGCAGGTAATGCCCAGTGACTAAGGGCTTCCTTTAGAACTACTTTTGCCCACTTCAAAGGAGCTAAAAGTTTACACGGCCATAGCATGTTGCCTCAGTGTCCTTTTCCAGAAACTAGGTGAGAGGAAAACTAGGAGAGGGGCCAACTGCACACACAGAATGAGCTGAATGTTTTAACACGAAGACAAGGAATTGAAGCTCTTCAGGTTCTTATTATTAAAACCAAATTGGCCTTGGCTGAAAAACTGACTTACTGTTCCATTAACTCAAGACACATGTATTTGTCACCGCCACTCTTGGATTTTATGTGCTTAGTAATATCAGTCTGTTTTCTCTCCTTCAACTCAGGGTGTGATTTGCTTCATCATGACCAGAGACAAACGGCTTAATACAAGAAGCTTCCTCTAACCTATACTATTTTACGTAGTTTTTCTTGCAGCACTCAAGTCTTTGCACTGCCACTACTGGCAGGCCTTTCAAAGATAATAGAAAAAACAATTACTCTAGAGGCTGAGCGTGAGCCTCAGGATAAAAGTCACTTAAGCAGCTGTCTTTGTCCCACTCTTTTCACTGCAAACTCCATCGAGGCGGTGACTCCCCCAGGAAGCTCCATTATGATAGGATTCCTACTTGACGTTTTAAGGTTTTTTTCCAAGCTTAATGATTCTATGATTCTGATAATTTTTGTAGCTCATTCAGAACTTTACCCAGGCACATCCATTAAATATAGTTTTGTACTGATGAACTGTAGTGACTGTTAAGTCAGTAATCAAGACTGTGTTTCTCTCAGATCTGTGAAGGCACACTCATTTCTCTTTCCACTCAGCAACTGCGCTAAGTTCTTGTCTCAAGATGACCATCGCTGTCAGGAGTCAGTCCAAATATAAAGTCTTCTGGCAGTGACTGTGGAGTCATCTGTGCTAACTGGTCATCATAGGAACCAAGAGTCCATAGCTTCTCCAATTCATAAGCCTCTCGTGTCTCTGGCAGCATGAAATGTATCACTACGCTACCTGCACAGAAGAGAAATTCACAATAAGTTAACATGAACTGTACAGCACTACTACACTTCCAGCTGCACAAAGAGCTGAAGTATTCCAGCCCCATTCAGGCTAGAAATAACAGGTCAGCTGATGGAGGTCTCTTCTTAAGTTGCTGATTCCAGTGCTTAAACAGTTAGGAATTGGTCAGTCCTTCAAAATATTCCAAGACTACAGCCAGGAGAAGGAGAGGGACAATACTCTATCACAAAACTTCAGACTAAAGAAGTTATGACTTCTAGTGGACAGAAGGAAGTAATCTGAAAAATTTTACTTGAAAGAGTCCCCTCTGAAGGTTACAGATGGACTTTCAGCTTTCCTATATTACCAAAAACATGCAGCTATAGCCAACTAATCTTCCTTAAGTGTGTTGCTCACACTTCTCGGGTGCTTTTCATAATGAAACAGGTCCAAACTTTGACAGAGCCTCACCTTCTGACTGTAATAAGGGTTTTTCTTACAGGTTTTTATTAAATCTGTGCAAACAATAGTAGAGAATGTTAACTCGAGAGTACTTCTAATGCAATTTTTTTTCTAGTTATGCCCTTAAATTTCAATCAGTTTTCAGTTATAACTATCAAAATCACTGACAGTAAAGTAACCAAGGCTTAACATCACTGGCTGCAGCGCTCCTCACCCATCATGCTCTCCTTTAAGCCAAAACACAGAGGGTGAGATTCTAGAGCAGGCAGTGAAGGAGAAATGCTTTCTGAATGTGAAGTCCTTTATGTTCGTGTAGAGAGCTTCACACTTGTAGAATAAAGAATTAAACTCAATTTCTTAGGACTGACTCTTTACCCTGTGTCATGGTACGCCCCTGACAGTGGAAAAGTCTGTTTAACAGTTCACCATTAGAGTTGCACACAAAGAGCCCCCTCTCCTCCAGATAGGGGTCGTATAAGCCTGAGAATATTGACTGAAGTAGCTTTTCTCTTTCCACTACTGTTATTTTTAATTTATTAAGACCTGTTTTAGCCACTCAAGAGTAGTTACTGCTTTCTTCTCAGTGTCAATGATCTTTAGTGAAAATTTATTTAGTATCTCAACGAGTTCAAGCAGCAACAACTGGGATTCCAAAACAGCAGAGTATTGTGAACTCTCCACAGCAACCAGCGTTCACGGCGAGATGCTTCCTTCAACAAAGAGATCATGCAGAAATTCATATTCACCACGTTCACAAATA